CCTCAACCCTCCTCGTTACAGTGCATCCGGAGAGGGGCACATTCTCATATGCGCCATTTTTCTCCAGGCATATTAGTGCTGCAGAGTCCAATAAACACTCTTTAATAAACTCTCTGTCAGAAAACGGTTTATTTTTTCTGGCGATTTTGTGGGATATGACATAACTTGTCTTGAAAGCTGCATCTCTGGGTGTGGAAAGTTTTGTACAAAAGTCTTTGTTGGTTATGCAGTTTCACTAGCAAACCATCCGACTCCCTTGGGCGGTCTTCATCCGACAAGTTAATGTATTTCTCCTCATGTTTGGTCACGTAGTGGCAATTCAAATTGTAATCCTTGAACACAGCGACCTGTGTACCACAAACTAAGCACACTGCTTTACCTTTGACTTCTGTAAACAAATACTTTCTAATCCATGTCTTTTTGAAAACGCGGCATTCATCAACTTATCGTATCAACTTAACGTATCAACTTTTCTTTTTTTTTGGCGTGAGTTGACATTTTAAGAGTTAGCTGGCCAACATCACCCGTTTCTCACCCAGTAGTTTGGGGATCTTAAGTTCACCTGTGAGGACTTAAAGAAGACAGCCTGGAAGAATAAATCAAATCAAATCTGAGTTGAGGAGGATAAAAGCCTTAACGAAAGCATTTACAGAAAACCTACACACACTGATCAATATCTCCTGTTTGAGTCTCATCACCCGCTGCAACAGAAATTAGGTGTCATCAGAACTCTACAACACACTTGTATAGCATGAACAGCATAAATATTTTTTCCATTCATGTTCTGATTGATGGACCTCACGTGGGCCAGACAGGGAAGCCCAAAGGGCTCGATGTGGCCCGCGGGCCGTAAAATGCCCAGGTCTGTTATAGATGATCACAGTATTATATTTTCTATTTAAAGTTACTGTTCACAGTACTCATGGCTAAATGAATAAGGTAATTCCTATTGAAATCACTAGACTCTTGATTTACTTTAACAGCAAAACCATCTGATTTTGTTACCATAACTTTGACTTTGTGTGTTTTTATTGGATTCTTAATTTTGCTCATGTTGCCCACCCATAGTTAAATTGATAAATTATGCTCTGGCTGGCTGACATGCACACACTAAAAGCAGCAGAATCACAGGTATAGTGAGAGGGATAGCCCCATACCAGTACTCACAGCACCCTTCGCTTGATGAACAGTGGGTGTAGGCTGCTCAACAGGAAGGCAGGTGTCTGTGGAAAGAATAAAATTAGACAAGTCCTTTGAGGTTATTATCAGCTTGTCTAAACATCACAGCAATTTAATACCGAATCAAGCCAATTTACCTTTATGTCTCTTGTAACAACCAAGTGAACAGCTGCAGAAGGAAAACACGTTGATTAATTTCTCAGAAATAATGACGTGTATAATACTGAATCAAGGAAATGCACAGATATCAGTGGGTATTGTTTAGTGCCAATTCCAGTCCTCGAGGGCCGCTGTCCTGCTTGTTTTCCAACTATCCCTGCCTGACCTGCTGCTGATTACCTGGCTCAGGTGTGTTCAGCCAGTCAGAAGCTGGAAGATACCATCTTAGATGAAGGTGGAGTGAGGAAAGATAAAGTCAATTGGTATCTTCCAGCTTCTGACTGACTGAACATACCTGAGCCAGGTAATAGGCAGCAGGTCAGGCAGGGATAGTTGGAAAACAAGCAGGACAGCGGCCCTCGAGGACTGAAATTGGCCACCCCTGGTTTAGTCTATGGGAACAGTGACATCAAATCGCAAACCGTTTTTACCTGCAAGGGTTGCCGTTACATGCTGTACTGTACCTGAATTGGAATTTTGCTTTAACTCTTGGTAGATTGTTTTATTTAAACGTTATACCACGACAGCATAACTTTTTCCATGATAACTACTAACATATTCTCTATTTTCAAAATTTCCAGACGCCGTAGCTAAAGTTAAACACATCGAAAGCTAACTCTAGGTGAGCTAAGTTAGCATGTTGTTGGCTAGCTTGCCAACAGTTATGCTAATTGAAGTTACTTACTATCTTATTTTGCAGCGGGGACACGTGTATTTTGATGTCTCATCGCTGCACACACCGCAGAGCTGCATGATTCTGGTATGTAAAAAGAGAAAATGAAGAAAAAAATAGTGATGTGACGTTCCGTATCGAGGCTTTGAAGCGTGTGCCGAGTAGGGGAAGGGGCGTTTCCGCGATGCGCGTATCGAGGCTTCCGTCATTTAGGGGAGGGGCTGAAATGATGACGTCCGAAGCCTCGCTGCCCGGCTGTACCACGTGACTGATTCAGGAAGTGGTTCGGATTTTGCCGCGAGTTTTGACAGCGATATAAACCCCTCAGGCTCCATTCAAAATGTGGGTGTTTGCTGGAGAAAAAGAAATCGCCTAAGACCTGCCACAGTGGAGAAACTGTTGTTTTTAAATAAAAACCTATGATGTGTCCCCTAAACCATAATCACTGGCCATACCTCAACGTATACACAGTATACTGCCATCACTACAATATACATGTTTTGCATACTTCTTTATTTTGCTGACAGTTTTATTCACAGGCTTTCTGCAAAATGCCACACACTTCAAATTCATGCCAACTGATATTGTTGCATCCAGTAGATGTCCTACTAGAGCAAATGAAGCTTCAAGAAGCTTTGCGCTGGAGTGAACCAATTGGATGAAAGGCTTCATTGGTTCATGAAGCTTCATCTGCCCATCACTAGAAAAAAACTGTTAAAACCATAGACACTCTGGTTAGAACCACATGCTTAATATAAAGAGGAAAAACGTAATGACGATTCCGGTCGAGCAGCCCTTCCTTCAAAATAAAAGCTGCCAAATTCACCTAAGGTTCAGCCAGTAGCCCACCACTGATGAAATACAGGCGCTGATATAGATGGCAAACTTCTGAGGTACATTTGGTCTTTTCATTCACAATTTATATGTGTAAATTCTCAATTCCGTCGGACATATTTTGATTGGTCGCAATTTTCTTCACCATCCAGTTAAATACACTGATTTAGATTCACAGCCAATTTCAACAGTTAAGCTAAATCAAAACCCAAATATCTCATGAGAAAAAAATGTATCATACCACTTAAAAATACCAGTACTGCACAAAAAAATCTCCTTTTAGACTTGAGCATTTCTGAAAAAAAAACAACAAAAAAAAACAAGCTCATATGTGTCTGGGTGTGCATGCCACTCCTGTGAGATATAAACAATAAGCAACCTCTCCCACATTCCCACAGGGAAAATACAGTTGCTGAAATGAAGGACAAAAGAGAATAGAATGCAGGAAAAGAGTTAGGTCCATATATAAAGTGAGTCTAAAAGAGGGGTTACCTATGGATTTATAGATTCTGCTTTTATAGTTATGCACATATGGAATGCAAACAAACCTTGTTCTTCTTCTTCTTCTTTCAGCTGTTCCCGTTAGGGGTCGCCACAGCAAATCATCTGTTTCCACCTAACTCTATCCTCAGCATCCTCTACTCTCACCCCAATTAACTTCATGTCCTCTTTTAGCACATCCATATATCTCCTCTTTGACCTTCCTCTTGACCTCTTGCCTGGCAGCTCCATCTCCAACATCCTTCTACCAATATAAACACTATCCCTCCTCTGCACATGTCCAAACCATCTCAATCTGGCTTCTCTGTCCTTGTCCCCAAAACAGCCGACCTGAGCTGTCCCTCTGATGTGCTCATTCCTAATCCTGTCTATCCTGGTCCCTCCTAAAGAGAACCTCAACATCCTCATCTCTGCTACCTCCATCTCTGCCTCAACACACGGGACTCATTTCCTGGAACTCCTATATGAGCTGGTACCCATAGGAATGCTACATTTAATCCCATTATTTGAATTCCATATACAGAAAGATTTGTTATATCACTATCATAACATCTGGTCTACTCTCTGACACCACATTTATTGAATTAAAACATTATATCTTCTGTACCCATAGAAATCACATTGATTCATATAGCCTATATATTTGTTTATGAAGCATCACTCACCTATATAGGTCAACACAAACTATTCTTGCACAGCTGTAACTTGAAAGCATCAGGTCTTGTTACAGGGTAGAACATGACATAGAGAGCTGCCTTGTGTTCCCAGGGTCATAGCACTCCATTCACCGGGACAGGAAGGACACTTGGCCATGATCAACAAAGGAAATCCAACTTATGTCTGGATCTGTGTGGAAATCAGAATTAAATGGTCATCAGAAAGCATATCATGCAGCCAAAGGCTATTTTCATTATTAATTATCTGCCATTTATTCCCTTCGTAAGTCATTTGATCTATAAAATGTAAGAAGATAGTGCAATATTATATGTCCATCACTGTTTCCCAAAACCCATGTTGATATATTCTAGTTGGTTGTTTTGTCTGACCAACAACCCAAAAGACAACGATAGCCTATTAATTTCAACCCAACAAGGAAAACTGGATATCTTAACATTGGAACCATAATGTTTGTCATTTTTGCTTAAAACTGATAACAACGTAAACAATTAGCTGAGTATCTAAATTGTCACCGATTAATATTCTGTACTCAGAATAATGATGTTCAGCATGCTTTTATTTTGTATTGTTATTTACTATGCTTGCGTGAGTTATGGTGACAACGAAACCAGAAAAATCATGTTTTTCCCCATAATGAATAAACACAATGTTGGCAATACAAAGAATCCTAGTACCTGTAAATATGGAGAGAAGCCATCAAGACGACGAGCTCTTGGTCTTCCTGCGTTCAATTTGGCTGTTGTGATATTTCTCTGCTATCTTCCTCTCGTGTCCGGCGGGGCAGTGGCGTGTTCAGCTCGATTTCTCTCTTGGATCGCCCTTTGCCACCAGCGTGGCACGAGTATTCAAGTAGATTATAATAGTCGTACTGATCGTAATATGCCTCCTCGAAAGAAGCTAATCTTTCCATGTCTGTCGCCATTTGGAAACAGAATGCAGCAGTTTTAACAAGATGAGTCGCGGAGCAAGTAAACAGATGATCAGTAACAGTGCCATATATAGGAAACGGGGACAATAATTGTTTGTTTGTTTTTTTGTTGGCTAAATGTTGTCATTCATAAATTATTCCAGATAATTTCACCTTTTATTATTTTATTTGTCATCACATGTCCACACATCTTGGACTGAATCACACCACTTCTTTTCAGCTTTTTTTTAAACAAATGTTCTATGTATGCAATTTCTGGCTATTAAGTAACAAGATTAGATGAGATTTATTTTATTAATCGCAAAGGGAAATTCATGAGTTACAAAAGCAACATATTTATGAACCGAAAGTCATTTGTTCGAATGAAAGTGTTTCTGCATACAAAGCTATGTTCGGTGTTCCTACACTGTGTTGCCGCTCAGCGCAGCGGCTCGGCCCGCCCCTGACGGCGTGGAACGTCCTGACGCTTTTTCACGTCGTTGTTCTGTCTTACAATCAAATTCGCTGCGTCTGTATGCGTGTCTCCAGCTAGGCCAGAAAGTGATGGCGGCGCCTGTCTTGAGAGTATCCACCCCTCGGTGGGAAAGAATAGCTAGGCTTCTTGTTTGCCTTTTGGGCATATTGTTGTCTCTATATGCTTTCCACGTCGAGAGGGAAAGGGCTCGGAATTCGGATTATACGGCTTTGTGCGATGTCAGTAGCTCCATCAGCTGTTCAAAAGTGTTCAGCTCAAGGTAATTTGAATTCAGCAAAGAGCGCCTACAGTGGCGCTCAATGAAGTTGGCTGCTATTGTGGTAATCTGGCTGCGTGGTTTAAGCTGTCAAATTCATTCAGCTAACATTTACCTTCTGCCCGCTACCACTGAAGCTATCTACAAGCCACAATTGCTGGCAAGCTGTGGTCCAAATGTTAGTCAAATAACCTCTCAAAAAAGTTGATCGGTACCTTAACATTTAATAAGCACATCATTAGCAGTCTAGTTAGCTCAATGTAGCTAATTTTGCTAACCGTTAGCTAACGAAATCCATATGTTAACGTTATACTTCTTAGCCAGTTAGCTATGAACAGAGCCGTCAGCACTGTTATTTGATGACCTGCGGGTTGCTAATATTAATTGCATTTGTAAAACACTGCAGCTTCAGCACAAATTTCATCATTTGACTAACAGTATAAACTGTGTGTGTTTGTGTGAGACTGTTGTTGCTGCTGCATGAAGCCATACATTTTGCCTACCAAAACAAGGATTTTTGGAGATTATCTTGCTATCCTACACGTTATAGCATTGGGTAACGTAACTGTTTTTTTTTTTATCTCGCTGAATACTAGCCAGCACTCATATTGGCTGTTAAACATATGTGGTGCTAATTCATAATAAACTAGAGAAATGCATTTCCTGTTGAAAATACGTGTGGATGCTAATAAAAGCTGTAAGATCATCCTGAAAATGCCTGAAATCAATTGCTGAAACAGCTGAAAGATGAGAAGAAATTACTGAAGTTCTTTGTTGAAATAGTTGAGAAGAAATGGCTGAAGTTCTTTGTTGAAGAGCTGAACATTTTGATACCTGAATGGGGTGGAAGAGGGAGAGGGGGAGAGACAGAGAGAAGAAGAGAGGAGTTATGTAGGGGCATGTGCCAATTGCGCTGCATTTTTTGAACCACCAGATGGCACACCAAGACTGTGCCAGTGACTCAGCACTTTGAGCTCCCACTGACTTGTATTGCAAAATATAAAGCTGAATCAATTAAAAAGTATAAATGTTATAAAAAAGTTGAGTACAAGCAGGGATGTCCCTGAAGAGTTGAACAGATGAAGACCTCAATGGCCTGTATAGCTGAAAGTATGCTGGACTTATAAAGTGCCAGAAAAAGGGTGGAAGATTCCAGAATAATAACTAGAGAAATGCATTGCTGAACATTTTGACACGTGAAAGACATATCTAAATCAAAGTATGCTGAAGTACAATGAACCCATTAATTTAAATGGGGGGGAATTTTCAAAATAAAGCTAAATATTTCAAAAGTATGAAGTTTAGAAAAATCCTGAAGAGAAGCATGAATGTCCTTGAAGAGCTGAACATTTTGATAACAGAAAAGTGTGCTGAAGTAGAATTTAGCCCATTCATTGAAATGGGGCAAGATTTTCAAAATAAAGCTAAATATTTCAAAAGTATGAAGTTTAGAAAAATCCTGAAGAGAAGCATGAATGTCCTTGAAGAGCTGAACATTTTGATAACAGAAAAGTGTGCTGAAGTAGAATTTAGCCCATTCATTGAAATGGGGCAAGATTTTCAAAATAAAGCTAAATATTTCTAAAGTATGAAGTTTAGTAAAATTCTGAATAGAAGCATGAATGTTCTTGAGGAGCTGAACATTTTGATAGCTGAATTATACTGAAGTAAAATTTCTACATTCATTTAAATGGGACAAGATTTTCAAAATAAAGCTAAATATTTCAAAAGTATGAAGTTTAGAAAAATCCTGAAGAGAAGCATGAATGTCCTTGAAGAGCTGAACATTTTGATACCTGAACGGTTTTCATAGCTGAAAGTATGCTGAAGTTGAATTTTCCCATTCATTTGAATTGGCAAAATTTTGCTGAAAAACACTAAATAGTTTAAAAGGTATAAAGGTTATAAAAAAGAAAAATAGTAGCATAAATGTCCTTAAAAAGCTGAACATTTTGATACCTGAACGGTTTTCATAGCTGAAAGTATGCTGAAAAAAGTGCCGAAAAACAGACGGAAGAAACCAGAATAGTAATAAATACCAGGATAACATAGTATGGATGCTGAATCAGCATTTATATAATGAAGAACAGAAGAGCATAGTGTTTTATGCTTTTCTGTTGTGTGGATGCTTTACAGCTTTACAGCATCCACACAACTAGAGAAATGCATTTCCTGTCGTAAATGCGTGTGGATGCTGATAAAAGTGAACATTTTGATACCTGAATGGCTTTGCTAGCTGAAAGTATGCTGAACTTATTAAAGATGTGAAAATAGGACCCCACAGACTAGGTAAAATAAGTAGGTGTGAACGTGTGTGTGGGCGGGGCAATAGAGAGGGGGAGAGAGACAGAGAGAGGAGTTATGTAGGGGCATGTCCCAATTGCGCTGCATTTTATGAACCACCAGATGGCACTCCAAGACTGTGTCATTGACTCAGCACTTTGAGCTCCCATTGACTTCTATTGCAAAATATAAAGCTGAATCAATTAAAAAGTATAAATGTTATAAAAAAGTTGAGTACAAGCAGGGATGTCCCTGAAGAGTGGAACAGATAAAGACCTCAATGGCCTGTCTAGCTGAAAATATGCTGGACTTATAAAGTGCCAGAAAAAGGGTGGAAGATCCCAGAATAATAAAGAACAGGAAAGCATAGTGTGGATGCTTTACAGCATTCACACAATAAATAGAGAACAGGAGAGCATAGTGTGGATGATTTACAGCATCTACACAATTGATATGCTAATGTCAAACAGCGGCTATCAGTCAGTCCCATGGGTTAAGCCCTACACCCTGGCTATCTAAAGGGACAGTGTACACATTGTAGCTGCTCCAGAGGTCAGTGGAGTGGACTGTAACATAGTTGGTTACTTAAAAGGTTCACTGCTGGCAGCAGCTAGATAGCTACAGCTATTAATGAATCCAGTGAGTCCCACAAAATGAGAGCCTTTCCATGCCTTGAACACATGAATGCAAATGAACCAGGACTTGTCACATATATTGTAAATGAGTAAATTAATTCTGTGAGTATTAGATACAGTCTGGCCACTGTTGCCTAAAATAAGCTGTAAACCGCTAGTTTTGAGCGTTTTTGTATTTCAGGGTTCCTAAACCAAACTTGATATTGGTAGACTGAATGTCATAAACTTGATCTTCTAACAGGAGAATGATTGTACTTGACTTTGGTGTAAACAGTCTTGGTTTTCAGCTGTCTAATCAATACCACCATCAATTATACATAATATGAATACCCTGAGTCTGGTAATGCAGTTTACTGTGTTTGTTCTGTATGTTTAATTACCTGTCTTGTGCATGTCTTTTTAAGTACTTAACCATCTTCAATTAAAGCCTTGAAACTCCAACCAAAATGTCTGCTATGGTAAATAGAATGGAAAGTAATGAGAATACATAATTTATTAACCCAAGGAGAATAAGCTCCCACAAAGTGGCAAATGAAATGAGATTGCTAAACATTTTGCACATTAAGATTTATTGTTTCAACTTGTGTCATCCATAACCCAAATATTTTATAGGATGCTATTAAGAAGTTGTCCCATTGGTTCTCAGGGCAGTTAATGAGGGGCACAAGTTGCTGTGTTCTGGGGAGAAAGAAATGAAAGGTCTTAGTATTGAAACTGCCTCTTAACTTCATGCTCCTGCTGTATAGCCTCAACTGAGATATGTTAATTTTACAAGGGGACAAATGGTTGTGCCACTCGGACCAGGATGAATTACAGTGCCTTGCAAAAGTATTCATACCCCTCGAATTTTTCTACATTTTGTCACATTACAACCACAAACTTAAATGTATTTTATTGGGATTGTGTGTGATAGACAAACACAAAGTATCGCATAATTGTTGTTGTTGATGTTTCATTTGGACAGTTACAGATGCTTTTCTTCAGCAGGGACAGGGAAGCTGGTCAGAGTTGATGGGAAGATGGATGGAGCTAAATACAAGGCAATCCTGGAAGAAAACCTGTTGGAAGCTGCAAAAGGCTTGGAACTGGGGCAGAGGTTCACCTTCCAGCAGGACAACGACCCTAAACATACAGCCAGAGCTACAATGGAATGGTTTAGATCAAAGCATATTCATGTGTTAGAATGGCCCAGTCAAAGTCCAGACCTAAATCCTATTGAGAATCTGTGGCAAGACTTGAAAATTGCTGTTTACAGACGCTCTCCATCCAATTTGACTGAACTGGAGCTATTTTACAAAGAAGAATGGGCAAAAATTGCAGTCTCTAGATGTACAAAGCTGGTAGAGACATACCCCAAAAGACTTGCAGCTGTAATTGCAGCAAAAGGTGGTTCGACAAATTATTGACTCAAGGGGGGTGAAAACATATGCATGCCACACCTTTCAGTTTTTTATTTGTAAAAAAATCTTGATCACCATGTATCATTTTCCTTCCACTTTATGCGATGACAATTATGCGATACTTTGTTTTTGTCTATCACACACAATCCCAGTAAAATACATTTAAGTTTGTGGTTGTAATGTGACAAAATGTAGAAAAATTCGAGGGGTATGAATGCTTTTGCAAGGTACTGTAATTCATCCTGGTCCGAGTGGCACAACCGTTTGTCCCCTAGTAAAACTAACATGTCATGCTCTTGAGTCCTCAAAACATTCTAAGAGTCAATAAAGGGACTTGCCTTTTATTGACTCTTTACCTGCACTGAAGAATTTGGTGGGGTACTCCAGCGTTGATAGTGGTACTCAAGTCATGTCATCATCCCATGCAGTAACGAATAAAGGCTCTTTGTTCTGCAGCATTCGTTAACTTCCCTAAAAATTAAACACAGGTTTGGTAAATGAATTGTTAAACAGAAAATATACCATTGTCTATGATTATGGACTGTTGGTCACACAAAACAAGTTCGCCTTGAACTCTGGAAAACTGACATGGAGGATTTTAACTGTTTTGGGACATTTTGTAAACAAAACAATATAATGATCTGATTAATGCATAATGAAATACTTTTAAGTAAATTATAATTTTCCTGTTCTAAGGCACAATCTTTCTAAAAAGTAAGCCTCATCCAGTTGGTATTTGGCATTGGGAAGTTAACGTTTGACTTGAATCTGATTGCCATATATAGTATTTTTTTTTTTAGCTTACCTCCACTGATTTAGTCTGACTCATTGGTTCTTGAGAATACTAGGCTATGATTCTAGTCCTTTTAGTTTGCTGCAGTTTTCTTCTGTATTTCTGAATAAAGTTGTAATTGCTTTCTTTTTTGGTGCACGCGTGTGTGTGGTGCATATGCTTGTGTGGTTTAGGTGGGGTCGAGGATTTGGTCTCCTGGGCTCAATTTTTGGAAATGACAGTGCACTGAACCAACCCAACAGTGTCTATGGGGTTGTCTTTTATGCCTTTCAGCTCTTGCTAGGTAAGATTCCACTTTATTCTGAATAATTTGTTTAACTGATTTAAAAATTGAGCTGACGAATCCTGTAGCTGTTGCACTAGTAACTGGTGTTGACTCAACATTTCCTCTGTCATGGCTGTATTTGACCTAAACCTGACTCATGTGACACTGATTTTCATATTAAGTGGCCACTTATGAATATAATTATATACTTACTGGGAGCCCCATACTTTTTGAATCTCGTCTGCAATCAGTATTTTGTGATAATTGATAATGCTAATTAATTTCTGCTTTTGCTAAGACTACAGTGTAGTAGGCTAACAAGAAGAATCAAGTCAAGAGTTAAGAATCTTTGTCATTATGCATAGCACAATGAAATTTCTTCCAGCAGCTCTCACATTATTTACATAACACAAGAATTGTACAGTATATGAACAGATAAAAATGAAGATGTGTAGGACCTAATCAGGTCAACAGCATATTAGCAGCAGAAGAATATAGTCCCATTCCAAGGTGCAGCTCAGTGCAAATCTCAGTCTTTAAGAAGTGTGAGCATGTGTGTGCATCTGCAGGAGTCCAGTATTCTATCTGTAACTGTCCGGTCAGCTTATAGTGAGTCCAGATCCAGAAGAGGACTCCCTACAATGCCCTGAGCTCTTCTCAGCACCTGGGTCAAGTCCTTTCTGTCCTGTGCAGTGCAGCTCCCATACCACACTGTTATAATGAGACAGAGGATGCTCTCTACTGTCGCTCTATAGAAGTTTGCAAGCATCTGAGAGGAGAGACCAGCATGTTTCAGCTTCCTGTGGAAGAAAAGCCTTTGCCGGGCTTTCTTCACCAGTTAGGATGTGTTCAGAGACCAGGTCAGGTCAGACGTGCTGTGAATGCCAGGGAACTTGATGTTATACACTTGCTCCACCACCTCCCCGTTTATGAGAAGGGGAGCATACATTGTCTTCCTGGACCTCCTATAATCTACAATCACTTCATTTCTCTTGTTGGTGTTTAGGACAAGATTGTTAGGTGCTGGATCTCCTCTCTGTAGTGAGTCTCATCATTGTCCGAGATGAGACCCACTATGGTGGTGTCATCCATGAACTTCACTACTGTGTTTGTGGAGTGAATGGCATCACAGTCATGGGTAAACAGTGAAGAGAACTGGGCTGAACACACAGCCCTGTGTTGTTCCTGTGTTCAGGACCAATGTGGATGATGTGCAGCCTCCGATTCTCATCACCTGAGGCCTGTTAGTGAGAAAGTCCTTAATCCAATGACACAGCACTGCAGGCATTCCCAGATTGTGCAGTTTCAGTACCCGTTTCTCTGGGATTACAGTATTAAATGCCAAACTGAAGTCAATAAATAGCACCCTGACATAAGTGTTATGATGCTCCAGGTGGGACAGGGCTCTGTGTAATGCTATTGAGACAGCATCCTCTGTTGACCGGTTCTCTCTATAGGCAAACTGATGGCTGTCCAGACCAGCAGGGATGGCATCAAGTTGAGTTGAGTTGAGTTGAGCATCCTCTCTGTTGATCGGTTCTCTCTGTAGGAGAACTGATGGCTGCCAGCTGATCCGCACATAGCTTCAGAACCCGTCCTGACACCCTGTCTGGCCCTGCGGCTTTGTCGGTGTTGATCCTCCTCAGGGTGGAGCTCACCTGGTGTAGTTGCAGGACGAGAGGCTGCTGCTGTTCCTCAAGCTGAGGGAGATGTACATTTTCTCTGCTGCCAGGTGTATCGAAGCGTGCAAAGAAACTATTCAGGGTGGTATCATGGCTGACCTGCTGGTTGTTGCCTCTGTAGTCTGTTATTGTTTTGATGCCTGTCCACATACTTTGTGTGTTGTTATTCATAAAGTGCTCCTCAATGCGCTGTTTGTACCTGTGTTTGGCCAGCAGGATGCCCTTCTTTAGTTCTTTCTGGGCCCTGCTATAGGCCAGCCTGTCACCTGATCTGAAGGCAGTGTCTCGAGCTTCAGGCAGAGGTGACACTGTACTGTCCAACCATGGTTTCTGGTTTGAAAAAACCCTGATGGACTTTGTAGGTAGGACAGCATCCGTACAGAACGAGAACAGCTGATGTATAAGCCTCCAGGTCTGAGCCCTCTTTGTACACCCCCCAGTCAGTATGCTCAAAACAATCCTGTAATGCTGAAGAAGCCTTCTCTGTCCACACCTTGACTGTTTTGGTGATTGGTTTTGTCCTGCAGATCAGAGATTTATATGCTGGGATCATCTCCATAGAGATGTGATCTGACATGCCCAGGTGTGGAGCTGCTATATTCTTGTATGCTCCCGGGATGTTGCAATAAACCTGATCCAGGATATTATTGTCCCTGGTTGGAAAATTGATGAATCTGTAGAATCTGGGAAACACTGCTTTAAGTCCACATGGTTAAAGTCTCCAGCCACAATCACAGCCACTTCTGGTTTTGCATTCATCTGCCTGCTAATCAGGTGGTACAGCTCCTCCAGCACTAATTTAGTGTTGGCTCGCGGTAGACGGCTACAGTCAGGATTGAGCAAATCTCTCTCGCCATTTTTAAAAGGTCTGCATTTCACTGCCAGATATTCCAAGTCAGGGGAGCAGTGTGTTACAATGATGCTCATAGTTGGGCACCAGAGGTTGTGGCTGTACAGCGCCAGACCTCCGACTCTGTTTAGCAGATGCTGCAGTCCTGTCTGCCTGAAACAAGGAGCGTCCCTCCAGCTCCATTGCAGCGTCTGAGATGTTGTCATCCAACCAGGTTTCAGTTATAAACACAGCGCAGCTGTCCATCCTCTGTAAGACCATCTGCAGCCGAATCTCGTCCATTTTGTTGGTTAGTGACCTGGCATTTATGAGGAAGAGACTAGGGAGTGCCGGCCTGTGTGGATTAGTATGTAGCCTAGCACGCAGGCCGCTCCTCTTACCCTGCTTTTGTTTACAGTGTCGCCTCCATCTCCTAGGCCACAAAGGGGGGATGATGAGAGCCATAGTGGTCCAGTGTAACTTTGAGCGCTATGTGCGTATGCACCGCCATGTTCAAAACTCAATGTGAAATTTGAACGCAAAAGAAACTAGAAAATTGCATTTTCTGAAGAAAATGCATATGGATGCTGAGCGCTTGAAAATCACCCTGAAAATGCTGAACATTTTGACACCTGAATGCTTTTGCTAGCTGAAAGTATGCTGAAGTTGGAATTTCCCCATTTATTTGAATGCGGTAAGATTTTCAGAATAAGGCTAAATATTTTAAAAGTATGAAGTTTAGTAAAATTCTGAATAGAAGCATGAATGTTCTTGAGGAGTTGAACATTTTGATAGCTGAAATTATGCTGAAGTAGAATTTCCCCATTCATTTAAATGGGGCAAGATTTTCAAAATAAAGCTAAATATTTCAAAAGTATGAAGTTTAGAAAAATTCTGAATAGAAGCATTAATGTCCTTGTAGAGCTGAACATTTTGATAGCTGAAAGTATGCAGAAGTAAGAATTTTCCCATTCATTTGAATGGGGCAACATTTTCAGAATAAAGCTCAATATTTTAAAAGTATGAAGTTTAGAAAAATTCTGAAGAGAACCATGAATGTCCTTGAAGAGCTGAGTTTTGATAGCTGAAAAAGCTGAAAGTAGAAGTTTCCCATTCATTTGAATGGGTCAAGATTTTCAAAATAAAGCTAAATATTTCAAAAGTATGAAGTTTAGAAAATGTTTGAATAAAAGCTGAATGTCCTTGAGGAGCTGAACATTTTGATAGCTGAAATAGCTGAAAGTGTGCTGAAGTTGAATTTTCCCATTCATTTGAATGGGCAATAATTTGCTGAAAGAACCTACAGTCAGGGAAAAAATTATTTGAACCCCAGCTGATTTAGTAAGTTTGCCCCCTAACAAAGAAATGATCAGTCTACAATTTCAATGGTAGGTTTATTTGAACAGTGAGAGACACAACAATAACAAAAAAATCCAGAAAAATGCATTACAAAAAAGTTATAAATTAATTTGCATTTTCATGAATGAAATAAGTATGGGCTTCCCTGGCCACCTGGCACTGGCACAGATCACAAGGTCCCTTTAGTCATAGCATTTAACACTCGAAATTTCCATACTAAAGGCAAGACTACTAAGTTTAAGCCTCCGACTATCCAGTATTTGTGAGTAGGCTTAATTAAAAAATCTGCACAACCCTGGTTCTAAGCTCTGATTAATATCATTGTTTACTGTACACAGTATATAGACTATAGTTATGCTTTTTCTCAAGACATCCCGTGCTGCTCTTGTTCAGTGTGTTTGAGCAGTTTTGTTACTTTCCTTTATTACAATGAAATATTATAAATAGAATAGAGAATAGTGGGCAATTTGGATAAAATCCTCTATCACAGTATATGTTAAGTATTTCTATAATGATATACAGTACATTGTGTGTGTGTGTGTGTGTGTGTGTGTGTGTGTATATATATATGTATGTGCAAAACATACAGTTTCTGAGCATTTTATAATCAGTAAAAGACAACTGCATATGATGCAATATTTAAACTGCAACCTATTTAAATAGATTATGTTGGGCTGCCATAAGGATTTGTCTGAATAATGAGATAGGCAGCACACTTGTATTTCTGTTGAAACAGTGTTCTTATAGACAGTTCTTTTTCCTATGGAGACATGGTTATGGCCTAGTTTACCAACACGTTTGAGCTTCTCCTGTCAGTCACAATGCATGTTGTTACTGTGCGTTTAATGTGTGCCAGCTTATACTGCGAACAGTTCCTCTTATTTATAATTCTTTGTTTAAATGATTTCCCTGCATATTTTTGTTAGCTTCCTAGCCCCATTCAGATGCATGCATGTTACAGAAACTGTCAGTAGATGGCTGTGCGTTGCACTTTAATGGAGATGGGTAAACAAACTGGACTCGCATAACATTAGGCTATGCAATAACAGCCACATTGTTGCAATAGTCTTTTCTCTTGTAGAATTAGACCAAAATGTTTGAAAAAACTTCTAATAAAGTATAAATCTTGCTTTTATGTGGCTTGTCCTTGTCATTCTCTCCTCATTCTGCAATTTGCTAAATAGTTCCTACCTTAATGTATAATGTCCATGTATTGGACAGTGTCACCGCTGAAGTGGGTATAACCCCCTCTGACCACGGGGGAAGTACTGAGTAAATTACTACTTGGCACACCAAAATAAGGAGGAGAAGAAGACAAACTACTGTGTTGGGGATACCCTCTATTGTAATGCAGACTGGTTGACAAAAAATAAAAATAAAAACAAAGGCTCAACCAGAACCATCTCAGTTGACCGACAGGCCTCTCTTGACTAATGACTCTACTAGTGGACTATTAGGGGGCACCCCTGACCTTAATTGACTTTTGTACAAACATTGGCTCCTCTAAGCTACTGACTAAGGATGTGAAAATTAAGCTAACTCATGCTTATCAAGCATGGGAAGCTATAAAGAGCTATCAAAGCGCTTGCATCTTCAAATTTCCATTATTCGCAATGTCAGGGAGCTGCGGAAAGGTTTAACTGACTCGGGAGTGGTGATGCACCACTCCATTGTGCAACATTTGTACACAAAATAGGTTCTGCATCTGAAAAGTCATGCAGCCTCAACACAGAAGTCATTGCCTGAAGTATGCAAAGTGACATCTGGATCAGTAGACATAGGGTTTGATAGCATTTTATTAAATCTGAATCCTCTGTCAGATCTGCTTATCTAATCTGCATCTTTTCAGTGGTCTCCAATATATGTCACTGTGTGAGGCACTGACTTTATATCGTGTTAAATCAAGTATGCCCATTAATGCCCCGTGTTTGACAGTGAGCACTGTAAGCTGTCTTGGATATGCAGCTTCTCCATGCCTTCAGAGTCACCTGTTTACATGACTTAAAGGATAGTTCTGGGATTTCTTTAAGTTGGTCTTAAAATAACACTGATGTGCCCATATATACATGAGAATAAGTCTGTCATTGTAACTTCTGATACTCGACACCAACCCTGAAGGTTTCCATCGGAAATACTCTATAAAATTGTAGGTGCATTCCCACTCTCTCGGAGTAGGAATGCACCTACAATGTGAATTTCAGAGTGGGAGAACTTGCAAAATCGCAGGGTGTTCAAATACTTCTGTTCCTCACTGTATATGGGCACATCAAGATTGTTCAAAGACCAGCTTAAAAAATCCTGCACCTATGCTTTAAGCATGTGGAGAGATGCCAGAAACACTCTAGCTGGTGTAGCGTGTTCTTCATGAAGAATAATCGGAATCAAATATCAATTTTCAAACATTTATTATCATAACTAAACTCAACACTGGGTACTTTACTTTTCCATAACAGAGACTTGGACCCTACTGTTTCAGCATAGGTATAGAGCAGCCAAAGTTTTTGGAATAATGGATAAACGTTGCTTCCTAGGAGAGTATCAAGTATATGTTGGCTGGTAAGGAAAGATGTCTAATGACGAGGAACACAAGATAATTTTGGTAGCAGAAAAGAATCCCCATCTGGTGTTTACAAAGCTGATGAAATATCACAAGCACAAACACTGAGGAAGCTCAGCCTTAGAACCATGACTGCACCTCATGTGACAACAGTGGACTATGACCAGTTTGAAAAGAGCAAACTCAGGTTGCATGTGTGTTGCAAGGTTTTTTTGTTTTTGTTTTTGTTTTTTTTTTTAACCTAAGCCTTAGTTTGTGTTTCTTGCTGTAGGAATGACTGTCAGTGCAATGGCTGCCCTTATTCTCATGACGACATCCATCTTGTCAGTGGTGGGTTCACTGTACCTGGGCTACATCCTCTATTTTGTCCTAAAGGACTTCTGCTTCATCTGCATTACCACATATGCCCTGAACTTCATTCTCTTTATTCTCAACTACAAGCGGCTGGTTTACTTGAATGAGGCCTGGAAGCAGCAGCTCCAGGCCAAGCAGGACTAAGCTGTCGAGAACGGCAAGAAAATTCAACAACAACAAAACAAGAGAGATGTGACCTCTGAACATTTGACTTGCCACCAGGAGACCTTGCTTCCAAAACAATGTTTATTCTGCTGTGTGTTCAAAAAAATGAAGAAATTAAATGTTGGGTCTGACTTCTCAATGTTGATTGCAAACATAGAAGGATTTGTAACTGAAAGATGTTCTTTTAATTTCTTTTTTTTTTCCTTGTTTAACATTCTGCTCACTTAAGGAAGAGGCTGTGTGTGGATGCATATTTGTGTGTGTGTCAGGAAATGCAACAACCTGAGCAAGTAGTGGCAGAAGGCCTGAATGATGGAGGACAGCTCTCTTTAGGATAAAAAGGATCCAGAATGGAGGAAAACGCAGGACATGAAAGGGTTTTACGTGGCATGGTTCAAAAGGTCATATTACTGTACAGCAGACACCTGCACTAGTACTTGGAACCAAATAATGGCTTCCAAAATTAGAAAAATGTTCATTAGGTTATACAGTTTGCAGATGAGGTTCTATGACAGGTGGGGGTAAAACACCATTTATACATAATTTCTTTTAATGTTTACACTTTGTAGTAATTTTGTTTTTGAAGAGGACCACTAAAAATAAACACAGGACAGTGCGAGTGTGTGTGTGTGTGTGTGTTTGTAGATCAGATTGTTTCACAATTCTGTAAATAGCTGCTGAGCAATATTCCAAGCCAGGTTGTGATGTAGTGTAGACACAAACCTTTAAGTTAAAACAGAAAGACAGGAGAAAACAGTAAATCTGGAACAAAACGTGATGAGGGTCACAGTTTGGGGGACGAGTCAGAGTTGTTCGGTGCATCTTCTGTCCTGTCATCCTGGTCAGGTGCAGTTCAGTCGTGGATTTCTTTGTTGTAAGTGGTTACTGTTTTATCTGAAGCCACTGGCACAAGTCTTTTAAACACAACTTGAGGTTCTTTTCTAGGTTTACATCAGCCCCCTCCCCGTGTTGTGTGAAAAGCATTCCTGACCACCGCACAAGTGGGTTCCATAAAGACATATGTGCCTAAGGGAGTGTTAAGGTGAATGACCTTTTGGGCATGGGATTGGGGTAATGTCTTTTTAATACCAATTTTCCCTCATTGTTTCATTGTCACAGGTCCAAGGCTTTATTCTTATGATCACACTTATGTAAATTTAAGATACCAGTGAAGTGTTTTCCCCCTTCCTTATAGTCTCACGCGGTAGCAAAGGCTGCTACACTGTGATTGTCCGCTCAAGAGTAGGATGGCCAGCATCTCTAATCTTTGTGTCAGTTGTGTTAATGTTCATCTGGCTTTTCTTTACTGTTCGACCAGTCTACATTTGATGTCAGCTGAGCAATACTGGTGATCTTGCCAAACTGAGCTTAGTTGATGTGAGTGGTTGCAGTGTAACAAGCTGTAAGGAAACAAAACGGTATGTTGAGCAACAGGTGGAGTTTGTGGGATGTTTGCTCCAGTAGGAAAGATATCCAGGTGGGTGGTTTTCTGTCACATGGAAGCATTTTGTTAAGTTAATCTAACATAGCAAGGTTTGTACAGTGTGATAGAACAGAGGGACATGCAAGCATGGCTTGTGTTGGTTTTGCTAGAAATCCACAGTATTGTCAGTTCAGTACCAGAGTAGGACCGCTGTCCGTTTTCCACCCAGAATCCACTGGTTAAAGTAACCTACTTGGCAGATGCATGGTACACTAGCTCTTGGCTTTAAGTACATATATGTGGGCCATCGGACAATCTTACACACATTGTCAAAGATCTGTATCTGTTATAGTGATACCTGTAATAATGTGATTCTACTGTGGTGTTAAACCAGCTTCTTTCCATGACTGCTAGTCTCCATGCCCCTTCATATTTTAATAGAAAACAAGTTCTCCTAGACTTTTACTTTATGGGTTGAGGGTTGTTAAAGCAGTGAGGTAGTAACTGATAGGAAAGGAAGTTCAGTGATGTGCTTCCTGGGACAACATATGAAGTCATCAGTTGTAAATGAAAAAAGAAACGGGGGTGATACTTTTGTTTCTTTTTTTAACCCAAGGTATTGCCAAAGACAAATTATGTTCTTGCATGTTGTGACCTATTTTGCACTTGTTATATCAATACCATCATTATCCAAAGCATGATGTGTTATATGTTTGTGATAGTTCTTCCAACATTCCAGGCAGACACTGGTTTGCATTGGCTTCCATAACCTATAAGAGTTTTGACAGTTCTCCATCATTCATAGTAAAGCTCATTGATACTGTTTCACAATATCAGTATTTTCCTTTGGGTTTGAGTAACAACAGTAAATGTGATGCAGTTTGGTAGCCACCCAAAATGCAACTCAGTGCAGTTCATTCAACTGTGGTGTGTTATGCTAGTATCTGCCAATGTAGCCTCAAGCAGAGTAATCCCATGTCTTGTAACTCCCAGATTTTATTCATTTTCAATTTTGTCTCTAGTCTTTGCTGACTCAGCTTGAAGCAATTTATTACAGCCCACCTTTACACAAATTTCAGATTTTGGTTTAAAAAAACCAGTTGCTGCCTGGAGGAGCTTAGAAAATTGGTTGTCATTTATGTTAAGATGACTTGATTGGTAGTAAATTGGTTGCAACATGCAAAATCAGCAGTCAAACCTGTATGGTCCTTTGTCAAATGATGTTATATGTTTCTATCATTTCTTTAGTAAGTAATTATTTTTATCTTCCGATACAGTATTGACCTGCTGAGCTTACATCAGGCTCCTTTTTCCATCTTATCTTAGAATTAGTTTACAGCCCCACTGTTTTTGTCTTCATCCTTTGTTCTGGGAAAGCCTGTACACCCACATAAGACAAATCTCTTATGGATTCACTTGAACAATTTTTTTTTAAATTGTAGTTAAACTAGCATAACTTTCTAGTTTCTTGGCAACAACTATGGGTCCTGTGAGTACTGACCATAGAGCTGACTAGCCTATTAGGTAGCCTATCATTATGTTTATGATAACAGTTATATGCAATCCTATTACACTAGTTGTGTGCAGTTACTTTAAAAAAATGGGTAAGGAATTTGGATGTTAAGAGTGAAATATTTACTTGCTAAAAAGATCGCTATGTTGTGAGATGATTTGTCAAAAAGAAAGTCAAAACAATCAACATGGCATTCTCATGAATGTTCCTCTAGGCCCTGATGTATGACTGCCATGTTAGTTGCATCATCAACGCCAACAAAAGTGCCTTCTGTTTGATCACTAGGCCTTGAGCCAAAGATGAGCAACAGTAATCGCCTTGTAAAATGAAGAACGGTAACTGTAACAGGCACTTCTGCTTGTCTTCCTTAAGATGTAATCTGATAAATTGGTAATACCTAAAGATTTAATATCCAGTATATTCAGTATCACTGCAAAAATCCATTAAGAAATTGCCAGAAAAAATAAAGCCCCATCAAATCAATGGCCGCTCCCTTTTTCCTTCCTGAACTCCGCTGTGTTCTGTCTAGCTAGGAAATCTTGGTTATCTAAGAATACATTGTCAACTACTTGACTGTAATGTTCTTTTTCATTATTAATTATGCCCTTTAGCTGTATAGACTGTTAACATTTTGGGTTATTTTAGTTAAAAAAAAAAAATTTAAAGATAAGGGGTTGGAGGGCTGGAAATCAATGTGTCAGCATAAAATGTTTAAATTTGTCTGAAGGACTTAACAGAGTTTGCTTCTGTATTGCCAAATATGTTTTTAAAATGCTGTATTTTCTTAACATGGAAAGTGTTACAGGAATGGTAGGAGAGTGTGGACAAAGTAATTGTTTAATTCCAGTTTATCTTGAGGGAAAATTGTGGAGAAGGCTGAACATTTTTAATTGTCATGTGAAAATGATCTACCATTAAAACATTACCTCTGAATTACCAGTTTCACTTTGTTATTTAAGATGAACAGTATTTAATTTCAAAGGAAGAGTAACTTGACTGCTAGGGAAGTCAACTGTTAAAATAAATTAATAAATAAAAGACCGACGTGCAACACTAAAAGCAGCGAATTGAAAAACCTCATTTAACCGGCATACTGCAGATACAGTAACTTCTCCACCCTTACATTTTCATCTAACGTTACAGAAACATGGCATTAACAGACATGCAACATGTTTATTTTTTTAAGCTTACCCTCAAGTCCCACCAAACAGTGGAAAAATAGCTCCCTTTCAAGTAGCTCCAATGTCGGTAAATCCAACCAGTGGATGCGTCTTCCCTCACACAGATTCAAAGCAGTGAAATTAAGTCCAACAGCTAGCGTAGCGCCGACAGTAACATTATGGATCCTTAGAATCCTCTCGCCAACCAGCAACACATCACATGCAGCAGACACACTGGCCTCATGCAGTCAAAAAAACAGGTACTGTGTTCTGGGGGAATCCAGCGTTGATGAACTGATCATTCACTGCCACGGGAGGCTTCACTGGCTGGCTGCTTGTAGGTTAGACCTGGTCAGGTGAGTGAGTTGCTGTACAGCCGTGGTTCTCAAAATGTGGGGCACACCCCACTAGTGGGGAATATAGACATGACAGGTGGGGGGCAATGAACAGAAAAAATTAGAAATGGGTCATTAATACAAGTAAATTAAAATATCAGTTTGTGCCTGGGAGGAAAAAAAAGTGGAACCATAGTGCAACAATAACGGTTTAACGTCGGCATGTTAACTTCCACGCAGCAATATAAGGAAACGTTCACACATAGGGCCAATAGTGTATGTAAGTGGGCATAATAACGTAAATGGATAAATTTGTTACATGGACCACAAAAAAAGCAGGCGATTCAGCACAAGCAGACAAAGAAACAGGCAGTAGCCTTAACCAAAATGCCAGCTGAAAAGAAAATGTGATGAAGCCTATCTTGTGCGGCAGAATTACGAATTCATGGTGGGGGGAGAGGAGAGACCCATGTGTGTCTTAAACCGCTGGCAGCAGACAGCATGAGACCCAACAAATTAAGACGTTTAGAGACAACACACCCCAGTCAATTGCTGAGCAGCTCATTCTCCCTGTAACTGTAAACATGGTGTCGATTATGCTGGATGAAACAAGTGCTGCAAAATTGAAAACTATCCCCCTGTCAAACGATAGTTGCACTTAAATTTTATCCGTTTTCAACTTAGTGTTATTTGATATTTCAATAAATTTAAAATTGGCCAATTTCGTTACAATTTTTTGACAAGTGGGGCTTGAAAATTCACCCACCCTCTTAAGTGGGGATTGACAAAGTTTGAGAAACACTGCTGTACAGGAACATTCCCGGACATGCAGGCCCGGTATTTTTCTCCACATGAATGCCGGGCAATGATGACCATCCAAGGTAATAATGTAACACTTTATTTTGTTTTGGGGGGGGGGTGTCTTGTCTTATACAGATTTGCTACATTTCATTGGATTTAGAAAAAAAAAATAAAATCACTACTCAATCAGAATGGTATTAAATACAGGAATATGACTAAAAATAAAAAGAGCAATAAAAATGAGAAGAAGAATAAACAGTATTCAGATGAAATAAACGATTACCCGTTATACAACAATTATTGCTGGATCAAATGTAAAATAAACAGCCTTACAAATGCAAGGAAACATCTAAAACCACTAAAATTTCCACAACAGAAGCATACTCACAGCTACTGTATGTTTGAAAGAAAACTAAAGCAGAGTTGAAATATCCAGTACTTGGCCAGCTGTAACACAAAGGTCAATTATGTGATACGGACACAAGCAGAGTCACTGACTGCAGGTAACGCGTCATTTAACTCTTGAGGTGTACATTTAGTTTTTGAAAACCTTCATTCTCAGAGGTTTTGGGTAACAGCGCAAGGACTGTAAAGTACACCTCAGTATGGTCTACAAAACTGGTGTAATGTTGAAAATGAGTAATGAAGTGATAAAAAAAAATTTAAAACTACAGTTTGTGTATTGACTACATGTTGTGCCTTTAAACCCATATACCAAAATTTGTTGATTTTCATATATAAAAACAAAGCTCTTATGATTAGATTCAGCATTGTAATTCATGTCAACATTTATCCATGGGGAAAAAAACAGTTAAGTAATGACAAGATTACATTTTTGTAAACAACTTTCAACACAGCTAACTGTGAAACTCCTAACAGAGCTCCTAAACATTGACGTGTTTATTACTTAAAAACACTGAGAAAAGCAAAATAGAGGTGCTAGTGTGATAATGTCTTTCCTTTATAGATTATTTGGAACATGATGCTCTTTCTCCACCAGGTGAACTCATATCACCTGACTGGAGAAAAGCTCACAACTAAACACTGATGGACTTACTGGTTTTTGACCTGACCTTTTTATGATAGTAACTGCAACACAACACCTCACCTGTCAGAATCTCCTGTAACTATGAAATGCATTTCCTCAGTCTTCACCCAGGTGTAGTCCAACACCACATCACAAGTCTAATTATTGTTATAAAGTGATAATTGCACCATTTATTAGTCACCAAAAGCTAATTTTTATCAAGCATCAAAAATTGCTTATAAGTTGTGCAAAATATTCCAAATTGCTGGAAAACCCTGGTCACACTATTTGGTGTGTTTGGTAATCGTGTTTCATGGTGATTTGACCTAATGTGCACATATTGAACTGGTTGTCAAAGAAAGTGCCCCATAGCGTATCACCCCATTTCCATAAAAGTTGGGATGCTGTGTAACATGTAACCCCCTGCAGTTTGCCTACTGGGCAAACAGGTCACTGGACGATGCAGTGAACATGGCACTGCATTACATCCTGCAACACCTCGACTCCCCAGGGACGTACGCACAGGCCCTCTTTGTTGACTGCATTCGTCGCAGCAACCAAACAGGACAAGTACAGACTTCAGCAGACAGTCAGGACTGCAGAAAAGGTCATTGGGTAAGCCTGTCCTCCGCACGGGTCAAAAGGAGAGTGGAGGGGATCACTGCAGACCCCTCACACCCTGGACACAATCTGTTTGAACTCCTGCCCTCTGGACAGCGTTACAGGTCACTGTGCACTAAGACAACCAGGCACAGGGACAGTTTCGTCCCCTAGGCTGTCGCTCTGATGAACACTTAACCAGCAACAGTATGACTGGACAATAACCCATATATATATATATATATATATATATACACACACACACACACACATATATACAGTACAGAGTATACAGGCTCATACCGGTCTCTAGGTCTTAAGTACTCTGTTTTATACCTATTTATCTCATTTCAATGAACATTCCTTTGTTGTCTGCATTGTTCACTGTCTGTTTAAACTGCTTTTTCTGCATTGGTTTTCACTGTTTGTTGATGTTAATACTGCTATTTTGTTATATTACACAACCTTATGCTGGTTTACTGTTTGCACATTTAGAGCCGATGTACTAGAGTCAAATTCCTCGTGTGTCCTTCACACCTGGCCAATAAAGCTGATTCTGATGTAAATAAAAGCTAAATGCAATGAACTGCAAAATTTTTAGAACCTATATTTAATCTAAACAACTTGTTTCATCTTCAAACAAAATGTTTGAAGATGAAAAAAGTGTATATATTTATTTATTAACTGACCTTTTTTCTTTAGCCCCACACACACACACACACACACACACACACGAAAGGATCAGAATATTAGGAACCTCTGAATACAATCCTATTCTGAGATGCTCTTTTTTTATACCTAGTCATGATACTGACCTGTTGCCCGTTAACCAGTTTAACCTTAGTTAAATGGTTGCTGGTCTCAAATTCAGAATAAGCTCATAAACTAAAAAAATATAAAATGTAATAATTTTAACATCAGATATGTCTTTATACTGTTACCAAATGATTTGGGGGTAAAGGGGGATTTCAAAACATTTCATTCTGTTTGAATTTACACAGCATCCTAAGTTTTTTTTTGGAAAGGAGGTTGTATAAGATAGACTAAAGTTTACCAGATATTTTCCATAAGGCCTGTCCTGAACTGGGTGCCCCAACAGTGCCAGATATCAGAGCGAGCATGGGTACTTGGTCCAAGGGGGTAGCCTGCCTGTTTCATTTGCCAGTCCCCAGTACCTCTCCTTCAGGATGAATGCTGCTGCTTTGGGCTGCCTTTGCCTGGTGAAAATACCCTTCTTGTTCCCCACCACACGGGTGATCTCTGCAGACACAAGACAGATCAATAAAGACCTCGTCAAGCACAGGACGCAAAAACAGAGGAGCCTTTTATCCAGTCAATATGCTGTGAAGAGATTATGCTTTGAGATAACTGTGCTCTCAAATACCAAACGCAAGAAAGTTAAGCTAATAGTTAAAAGTAAGAGTAGCCTGACATGGGCAAAAATTGCTCCATCAGTGGGATTTGTTGCTCCAGAAGAGAAGCCTAGAAATATTGTGAGAAGTCCTTTTTGGCTTTCATGCACCTCTCCTGCAGAGCATCTTCAGGACATGTTAGGACAAAACAATGCAAAAGTGATGCAAAGCACAGAATGAATCTCCCATTGTGAAGTCACAGTTTCTGGATACTTTGATGCTCTTGACAAGACACTACTGCGTCCCTGACGGATTCATTTTTTCATTGTAATTATTTTAAACGCAACTTTACAACCTCAGTCAACTTTTGGTCTGTTATCAAATACATATTACAAATAATAATGTAATATGCACAATAGTTCCTTTTATGACTTGTCCCGTTTTTCCATCCCATTTATGTGCTGCAGGTGGCTTTCATTTGTGAACGTCCTGGCCAGACTGTAAGATCTGTATTTTGAACACTTTTTTTTCCCCATCATTATAAAACTTTTACATTTTAAAATTAGATTTCACCAATGAATAGTTCTGCATAAGGAAAAGATTCAGTATGGTGTACTTTAGTATTGTCTACAGTATCAAAGTCTTCTAAGCAGAGGTGTGGATCATGTTATTGTGTTTATATGGACCATAAATTCATGGGCTACTCGATTTAAATGAACACCATATCATACAGTGAGCCACAGTTGATGAGAAGTCTCTGTCCACAGCACCTGCCCACCCAGTAATAGGTGTTTAGTGTTTTTTTTACAATGCAATACCAATATATTGTGCACAGCACAGCAGCTCTGGCACTACAGGTTGTCATGATCTGCAGCTGTAGTACCTTGTGCGGTCATGAAGTCGGCAAAGTTCCAGATGAGTTCACCAATAACATATTGCTTCCTCTTCTGATCAAACACCTTGTGGTAGTTTTTCAGGACTATCTTCTGGTACTCCTCACTGAACATCATGGGCGGATCCTGAAGAGTGAAAAGAAAGCTTGCGCATTAATATGTTTCTGGGAAAATGTGTTGAGTGACAATGCAGAAAACAGAAGTGGGCTGACAGAGGTTTAACAATATCTGAAATCCAGCAGAGTCCTACAAAACAAAACAAACAAAAAAAAAAACATACACACACACA